GAAGAGATTGAGATTGTTCACAGTTTCAGTTTGCTTGGCTTCACAATCAACACTCTTGGCACAAGCAGCCAGGAAATTAAAAGACATATTGTGATTGGAAAGTCTGCTGTTATGGACCTCTCTAAAGTACTCAAGAACCAACAGTGTTTCTATGGAGACAAAGGTGCGTCTGGTACAGGCTATGGTCTTTGCAATCACTTGTTATGCATCGGAGAGCTTGACAATGACCAAGGAAGATAGAAGGAGAATTGATGCTTTTCAGCTTTGGTGTTGGAGAAGAGTGCTGAATGTGCCATGGACTGCTAAGAGAACAAACAGATTCGTCCTGGAGAGGGTTAAACCAGGCTGCTCCTTGGAGGCAAGGATTCTGAGGCTTCATCTGACATGCTTTGGTCATGTTGTAAGGAGAGACCGGTCCTTGGAGAGGGACATTATGCTTGGGAGGGTGGAGAGCAGGCACAGAAGGGGAAGGCCCTCTGGGAGATGGATTGATTCGGTGACTGAGGCAATCGGGATGAGTGTGTTGGAGGCAATGAGATTGGCACAGGACAGAGCAGAGTTTAGAGCTGTTGTACATCGGGTCGCTATGTGTCGCAAGTGACTCGATGGCACATAACAACAACAACAACAACATATGTGTGTCTTCTGATAGTTCTAACCCATTAGCCTACTAATACCTCTGCTGGACTTTTGGAAAGATTTATAGCCTTAGAAACCCTATGGGACAGTTCTGTCCTGCTTATTAGAATCACTGTAGTTAGACTCAACTTAATGATAATGAATTTGTTTTGGTTATATATATATAGATTTGTTGCTCTTTAAAGAAGGCAAGTATGGTGAAGTTTCTTCTCACATATTTTTGGGCATGTTGCTTGCTAGGAGAGGCTTGGACAGGGCCATCATGCTTGGAAAGGTGTAGGGTCAGCAAAAGAGAGGAAGACACTTAGTTGGATTGACACAATAACAGCTGCAGTGGGCTCAAGTATGGCGGAGAGGCAGAGGATGGCACAGTATATGGAATGTTTCAGATCTTTTATTCATAGGCTCGCTTGACTCAGTTACATTGAACAACAACATAGTTCATTTGTTAACATTTGAGATAACAAAAGTAAATTTAATCAAAGTTAAATAAGTTCTTCATACTGGACTAGAAATTGGTGGACAAGTGATAAAAAATTTATAATAGTCTGACTTTAGATTCCTTCTTTTTAGTACTATATACTGTGTTGCTTAATAATTTAATGCTTAATTAGATCAGATATATTTTTAGACTTGACAGAATACTAGCAAAATGATAAGAATATTAGTCAGAAAAACTAACCTGCTTTTCCAGAGTTTTATTTAAAATTATTTTACTGTTTTGTTACTTCTATTATCTTTTCCTTAACATTTAAAAAAAATCTTTATAGACTCATCTAGCTTGAACCTTTGTAATTCTTAACTGGTTTTCAAATAGATTTGGCCCATTTTCCAGTTCAATAGCAAAATAACAAAAAAGTCATTTCTTATATACATATGATTTTTTTAGTTTAACATTCTGTTTATTAGAGTGGAATTAAAATTCAGATTGGTGAGTTACAATCTTGGCTTTGAATGACTGCTGAATTTTATCTTTTTTTTTTTTTACTAGTTGGCTCTTCGAAATGAAGAAGCAGAAAATGAAAACAGCAAGTTAAGAAGAGAGGTTGGTAATAAAATTTAGTTGTGCTGGTGCAACAAAGGTGGTTAAAAATGTGTTGATAAATTTCTATTACATCCAGAACTAGATTCTTTTGAGATCTTTTAAATGGGCTGATAAAACTTTATTCATTTAAGGTTGAAAGATTAGGCCAGTCATCTCTTTATAGGTTAAATATTGCTTTCTGTTTTATATATATGTTACTATTTTTTATCTTTTTGCACCAATATAATTTTCGTTTATTGTTTCTCCTGATAGTTTTCATCTTTTAACATAATCACAACATAACTGTTCGTTAATGCATATTTTTATTTTCTTTAATAATAAAAAATATTATCTCATTCTTTTCAAATTTCTCATTTATGCTTTCTTTTACTTATTTTCTTTAATAATAAAAACTATTATCTCTTATTCTTTTCAAATTTCTCCTTTATGCTTTCTTTTACTTTTTTATATTTAATTATGTGTTGCTTCTCTCATTTTGAATTACCTTTTACTTGTCCTTTTCTGGAGAACAAACGTCTGAAGAAAAAGGTGAGACTTTGAGGGTGGGGAAGCTTAGATATTGAAAAAGCTCTCCTAAGATCACTGTTTAAGGAAGAAATTTTGTTATGCTTGATAGTTTCTTAGTAGAAATCATTGTTTGATCTACCTACAGAATGAGCAACTACGTCAAGATATTATTGACTATCAGAAACAAATAGATTCACATAAAGAAACGCTTTTATCGAGAAGAGGAGAAGACAGTGACTACCGATCACAGTTGTCTAAAAAAAATTATGAACTGGTACAATATCTGGATGAAATACAGGTAAGATTGATAAAAATTAGTTTAATAAATTTTACCGAGGTCAGTCCTTAATTGTGTATCTGTTTTTTAGCCCTACATTTAAATTCTTCAGTATTGTTTTTATCCACAGCCATCTCTAAAATTTGGAAGCAAGAGTGGCATCCACTTCCTAAACAACATGCCTCTGGAAACTCTATGAACACTGATAAATGATGATAATTATTAAAAGGCTTCAGGACTTTTATTCATAGGGTTGCTGTGAGTCGTACTTGACTTAATGGCAATCAACAACATAAAAACATTTTTAAAACATGAATAGATTGTATCGCTGAAGTTGTAATTCTTTATGCATTCTTTTATAATATGCTTGGCTTGGGCTATGTTTGAAAAAACTGAGATTCTTGTGTAAAATTTTCTTGATACTTCTTTTAGCTTAATTGATATGAAAAGTATATAAAGAATTCTCTTTAATAGTTACTCATACCTCCATTTAATTTTCACTTAACTTAAATTTTCAAGTTTCTTAAAACATTCTCTTAACTATAACTCCTTGACTTTTTTAGACTTTAACAGAAGCTAATGAGAAAATTGAAATTCAAAATCAAGAAATGAGAAAAAATTTAGAAGAGTCTGTACAGGAAATGGAGAAGATGACTGATGAATATAATAGAATGAAAGCTATTGTCCATCAGACAGATAGTGTGGTGGATCAGTTGAAAAAAGAAAATGAGCATTATCGGCTTCAAGTAAGAATTACTATTTACATAGATTTCATTCATATTGTCTCATTACTGTTAGTATGAAATAAAATATAACTTTTTAGGGTATAAATTTATTTTGCTTTCATACTGAGGTATACTGTCATAGTGATAACTCACTGTTGTCTAGTTAATTTTGGCTCATAACAAACCTGCATCAGGTTTCCTAGCCTGTAAGTTTTTATTGGAGAAGGCTACATTTCTTTGTCTTGCATAGCAGCTGTAGGATTTGAATTTCAATACTACGGGTTTAGAGGCCTGACATGTTATGTACTATGTTTGCCACCAGGGTTCCAGATGTATCTGTTCAAATTTGTTTCTATAAGTCCTTCACACATAGATCTTGTAATTCATCCTGTTTAGGTAGGTAGATGTGCAGTCACACTCACTTTCTCATGGCTGTTGAGTCAGGAGCAAATTGCATGGGAAGATTTCCCAACTTTTTTTCCTGGAGTGGCTGGAGTTATTCCAACTACAACAGAGGTGCCTCCTTTGGTTTAGCAGCACAGCTAAACCCTACCCAGTAGGCCACCAGAGCTCTCTATTTAGATAATAATCAAATTAATGGTATTTAGATAGCAGTCTTAAAATCTCATAATTACAGGAATTTTCTATTAATGAGACTTGAAATCTTTTTTCCATTGAGCACCTAGTATATTAAAACGGCTAATCTTTTAGTTACCAGCTGAGCACTTACACTCTGTGCAACTCAGATACTACAACAAAATAAATAAGTGAAACTTAACATTTAATTTACTTTGGACATGTTGCTAGGAGAGAATATTCCTTTGAGAGAGACATAGTGCTTGGGAAGGTGGAGAGATGACGAAAGAGAGGAAGATCATTCAGCAGATAGATTTGACACAGTGACTGCAGCACTGGGCTCAAATTTATCAGAGATTGGTAGGATAGCACAAGGTAGGACAGGGTTCAGATCTTTTGTTCTTAGGGTCTCTGTGAGTCATATTGAACTCAGTGGCACCTAACAACAATATCCTTTGATATACCCATTAAACTAATTTTACTGCAGATAATCTTGTTATGTGTAGTCAAGTCTGAACCAACTCATAGCTAACCATCTAGTGGGTTTCCGGGGGCTGTACATCTCATGCAAGGGGATTGCCTTTCTTTCTTCCACAGAGTAGATGGTAGATTCAAATTTGCCTTTCAGTTGACAGTGCCCTACCCCTGGTACACCAGAGCTGTCCATAAATACTATGTTGTTGTTGATTGCCTTCGAGTCAAACATGACTGATAGTGGCCTATGAACAAAAAGCCTGAAGTCTTTCGATAACTACCAACATTTATCAAAGTCTGTAGAGTTTCCAGAGGCATATTGTTTACGAAGTGGATGCCACTCCTGCTTCTAGATATTAAATATTAGAGAAACTGATGAATTGCTCATGATTTATTTGATACTAAGTGTAGGAAGTTGGGTGGCCTATTGGGTAAAGAGCTGTGATACCAGCCCAAAGGCGTGTTTGGATCTAGCAGCTGCTCCACAGGTGATCCTCCCATGCAATTTATTGCTTCTAGAAACATGCTGGAGGGTCAGCTGTGAGTCATTTCCAACTCAGTGGCACATACTAACAGTAACAAATTTAATTTAATGTTGACGAGTATAATTCTCTAGCACTTAAATTATTTTGCAACTTGTATTATGGACAAGACGTTACGTTTTACCTTTCTCTACAATCCCAAAACTATTGCAGTCTTTGTCTCATGAATCAGCTGTTGTTGTTGTTATGTACCGTCGAGTTACCTGTGACCCATAGTGACCTTGTGTACAGCAGCTCTGAAGCCTGTCCTGCCCTGAGCCAGCCTCACTGATTCCGACACACCAACCTCAATTGACCAAGTTACTGTATCAATCCATCTCATCTAAGGTCTTCCTCTCCTGCACTGTCCCTCCACCCTTCTGAGCATGATATCATTCTCCAAGGATTGGTCCCTCCTGGCCAAAGTATGAAGATGAAAGCTTCAGAATCCTAGCCTCCAAGGAGAAACTTGGTTTTCCCTCTCCAAGAATTGTTAACCTTTTGATTAGCAGCTAAGCACGTAGCCACCTTGCCACCAGGAATCCTCACTATAAAATTACTAATAAATAATAAATAAATAGTAATAATAAATACGAATATGCAATGCACGTGTGAATATGTAAAATATACACTTAAGCCGTTTGCAGTACTTCTTGATTATTGCTTTCTAGGTACAGGAGCTCACTCAACATTTGAAATTAAAAAATGAAGAAGATGATCCAGTCATGGCCGCTGTGAATGCAAAAGTGGAAGAATGGAAGGTGATTGCCCAAGTTCATATACTGTCTTTACCATTTAAGCTTTAAATTTTTTAGTTTTAGTTTTCATTAAAGAATTTATTTTACTTTAAGGGCATTTTGATTAAATTACTTTCTAGCAATCTTTTTTGTCTTAGCTAGAGAATCTTTTCTAAGAGCTATGTCTTTCATAGTTCTCTTGATCATTTATGATTGAACCCACTCTTCAACAACACTGAATAGGACTTTTAAAATTTTGGTATCTAAGTCCAACTCCAGAACTCATTAAAGATAACCACCATAAGTCTAAAACTTTATTGTCATCTAAAATTGTTGTTGTAATGTTGTTATATGCCATCAAGTCCACTGTGACTCATAGCAACCCTATGAACAATGGCTCTCAGCCTTGCCCTATCCTGAGCCAACTTTACCATCTCTGACATACTTGGATCACATTGCCACAGACACTGTGTCAATCCCTCTCATCCAAGTCTTTCTTTCCTGTGCTTTCTTTCCACCCTTCCATAGTATCCTTATCCAAGGACTGGCTCTCCCGAAGGCATGCCCAAAGCATGTGGGATGGAGTTTCAAAATTCTTGCCTCCAAAAAAAAAAAATTCTTGCCTCCAAGGAGCAACCTGTTTCACCTTCTCCAGGATAGACTTGTGTGTTCTCTTAGTAGTCTAAATTAATAATTTTTTTTAAAAATAACTCAGTTACATACATTGTTTCCAGATTTTATTTTGTTTTCCCAACTCAGCTTTTTATGTCAAATTAACCAGACTCCTTGTATTCAATGGAAATGAGTATAAGAAAAGAGATCAGAATCCATCCTTTAGAAGGTCTTGGCAAAATACTTCTTCCTTACCATTCCAACACCAAACACATTGTTCTGCATTACCGTATTAGAACCTAGGGTCATGATGGATGTTTGTTTTGAAAAATAATCTGAAATAATGCTGAAAGTACTACTGGTTTTTTAAAAGCTAGCATTTTCATAGTTACCATTTCTGTCTGGATTCTCTTGGCTATTTGAAATTGATACCATATGGGAAACTGAGATAACCTATATTTCAGGCAGGAGTGATAGCATTATAAATGAAGACCTATAAAATTAATGTAA